AGGCAAGCTGAATTTACTTTTTGTGAAGTTTTTTTGACTGCATTTTTGGTAAAAGCTTCTCAGATCATGATTTCATGTGATATGGACCCAAAAACAATCGGTGCACACATCAGTATACACACAGACACACACAGACATACAAACACATATAATTGACCTTGACCTAACTTGACCTGAAATGACCTCAGCAGCAAAATTCTGGTCGGATAGTGTGACAAAGAGGTTCTAGCTGGCTTGGCACCAGAAAACAGCATCGTCATCGGTATTTGATAAGCAGCGCACTTGATATCCAACGGTGACCCAAAACAGTAACATTTTTTAGTTTGACCTGACCTGGAAGGTCAATGACTGACCTGAGAAGGTAAAACTGGGTATCATTGGATTCGTTTCTTCCCAAAGAATCTTTTTGGTCTTTACTGCTAAGCTCTATCTCCAACAGGAACGAAATGGCGCGGGGGGGGGGGGGTGGCAACCACCCCATGTGCGTTCTAGGATGGGAAAATGGCATGTGCGGGCGAGGGTTAAATCCAGGACGATTCTTAGTTTTACTCCTGCGTGCATGTGATTGAACATCCTGTTGTGAGGGTGTGCTGATATTAAATCTAGCTTCTTCAGCCCTTGTTGTTAAAAAAGCAGAGTACCTACGTATGTGCGCTCTTGGAACCTGCTAGGTGTATACTTTACTAAAACTGAATATCAGATTTCATAAAATTTCTGTGAATTAATTACATTTTACCGAATCAAAACACTACCCAGAATGCATTTCTTACGCAAGTCGCTGCCTTTTGTCAAACGATCTCATTCATTCACAGTCACACTTATAAGGGAAGCATGTGCTATAGGAGTGCTCGTGCACCTGTCAAGTTGCATGCGTGTTATCAAAATGCACAAAATTACCTGCGCTGCGTGCGCCCCTTTATTACAAAATCGTGGTTTATCATTCCATTTTTGTGGCTCGAATCCATTGAGCTACATCGGCTTAGCACGTCTTGATAACCTTACAGGGAAAAGACCATGTTGTGACCAACTACATAAGCAGTTAGGGTAGTTCCGCGAAACCATCGCAGCCTGCCGTGCGCTTATGGGATGTCAGCCTTCCTTAAACGACTGGTAGCTCGAGCGACTATCGTTTACACGTGTGTCCGGGGATGTTTCGTGTTTGGGGACGTGTCCAACATGTCACTGAGAATTGAGATTGACACATGGGTACTGACTGGCACTCGTGTGCGAACGTAACAGCGCCTGCAAATTTATACTGCTGATTTGGCGATGCTGCTATTGATTCTTACTAAATGGGCCATTGCATCCGTTAAATGCTTCTAGAACAGTTTAGCATTTGCTTCTTCGAAGGCTCTTACGCTGTTGTGCTTTTGTGCAAAAGGAAAATTGACCCTGCCGAAGTCTAGCGAAATTCCCTGAATTTAATGACGGCTTCTTCAGCCAAATCTCTTTTTCTTTGCATCATGCAGCTTTCTCAGTCAAAGCGTACCTATAGCCCGACTAATGACCTACCCCAAGCCAGCCCACGGATGGCAAGTCGTTCTACCTACTCTTGATCTGCTCTGCGACGCATGTGTGTGCGTCCTGTGAGATGTCCTGCGACGGGTGTCTGTCCATCGTGATCTGTCCTGCGACGTGTGTGTTTGTGTGTGTGTGGGGGGGGGGGTGTCCCCTTAACCCTCCCCTGCCATGAATTTTAGTCCCCTGTGACTTGTCCTGCGACGTGTGTGTCCCCGGTGACCTGTCCTGCCATGGATCCTGTCCTCTGTGACCTGATGGCGTGCGATCCTTCTGTCCCCTGTGAACCGCTCCGTCGGACCCGGCCCGGTATCGACCTCCCGTCGCCGTCGACTGCTCGATGCCGACCCCCCGGCGCGTCGTGGCAGGCGGGCTCGTGGCAGCGGAGCTCGTCGTCGACCTTTCGATCGTGACGTCACTGCCGATACATCCGGTGTGGGATGGTCGGCGCGGTCCGCCACGACGGAGTGGCCGTGGCGCCGTTGAACTCTGGACTTTTCGTCCGCATTGACACCTGGGTCTTGTGCAAGGTGCAAGTCAGGCGTAACCAGTTTCATGACGTCCCATCAATGTTTGCTAATAGGCTGCTCAGTACTGAAGTACATGCTATGTAATGCAGTGTCCAATCGCACGTGCGTTGCAGTGATAGGGCTAATTATACAGAACCTTACTGAAGTACATGCTATGTAATGCAGTGTCCAATCGCACGTGCGTTGCAGTGATAGGGCTAATTAACCTTCAAGACGGTCAGCCAAAACCTAACGGTAGAACGTTTCGGAAAAAAAACTATTAGCGGTTAGTCATAAGCGTTCGTCGATTTCAAACATATATTTAATTGAAGAATAAAGTTTCCACTTATCCAGTCAGTATCCTTTTACGGCTGGCACATATCGAAACTCTCCAAAGACGTTTACAACACATGAAATGCCTCCCCGTTAGCCTGCAAGCAATGGTCTACATGAAACATGTACATACGTTATGGAAATGTTTGGTGCTATGCTTTTCCTTTAATTGGTCGCTGTTCATTGAATGACATTATTTCCATGCCTAAGCTGCTAGTCATGTCGTGCTCTTATCTCAAATTGGCCAAATGAGGTAGGTAGGTCTGCAGTGACAATGACAAACTTACCGGGGCAACGATCACGTTGCTGGGAGTGGTGGTTCGCCCTATACTTCAGAGCAGCCATGTCACTGAGGGTCCTCTATCACTCGACAGGCTCTTAGTGGCTCTGAATCTTTCCGGGATTTGGCGTGCACCTTAGTCATTGGCCATGGTTCATGTCCCACAGGACATCCCCAGTCTGATAGTGCCTCCCCGCTCAAAGGTCGGTACTGTCTAAGTGCACGAGATAGAGATTTGTGTAACACTTCGCTTCACAGAGCAGTGGCTGCACGAAAGTATCGTTCGTATGGCTATCTCAAGAACGTGTGAATGTAATAGCCCAGGTGCCAAGGCGCCATCCAAATATGCTTCAATAGATAGCTGAACGTTCCCGGGATCCCGAATCCGTTTCGCTGGCACGGAGCCGGTACTGGGATTGTTTACAATATCGCGTAGGAGGGGCCTCTTTCGAGGAAGTATTAATGAATTGATGCCTTTGAAAGCTCCGTTATACCCTTGCCGCGTCCTGCGGTGAAGCTCCGTCGTCCCTTCCCGGTTCGATAGCACGGTGGCCGGGAAGCCAGAGCTTCAAAGCTAAACCCTAATGCATCGCCATCACGGATTCAAACCTGTGCTTTTTCCACAGAATCCTGGTGGGGCTTGCCAAAGGCAACCGCGCACCTTGCCAGCCGGCGATTGGGGTCTTTCTTTGATGCTCCGCGCAGCAGCCGTGGTCAGATGAACGGTCTATGTTTTCTGGTTAGAGGTTGCGGGGAACAGTAGCCTTGTGGTGGCTGGCAGGATTAGTCCCGGTTGTCTGCGGCCCCTGCGGTCTTGTACGGGCCTCACACGCAGTGTATGTGGGCGTTCGTGTCTCCGCTCTTTAGAGGGATCTCTGTAATCGGCTTGGCCACGTGCCGTGCCGGGCACTGAGCCTCCAGCTTCCGGATCAGCGGCGGCCTGTGGGCAGGCACTGCCCGACCGGGCCACAGGCCGGGGGCGGGGACAGGTGTTCTCGGACACGCGAACTGGGCGGTCCCGGTGATCTGCACCGCGTCCGCAGCACTGTTCCGGCCTTAACCGATGGTGTTCCTCACGGACACAGGATTCCACCTGGTGTTTTTTGAAACGAGGTCTGCTCACGGGGTGCTAGGTGTTTTCCGAGTGCCGATAAGACCCACGCTGTCATGTCTGAATATACATCTATATCGGTAACACGAGTTACTGCTGCATATGGCAAGTGCCGACTACAATCAGCAATTTGGTGGCAGGCTATCGTGGCACGACCGGCTCGGACCCGGTAAAAATGACCGCTGATAGTGGACGCCGTGTTTACTGTCGTGGGTGCCGGCGGTAAATGTGGCCGCGTACGGAGAAAATTCAGCGCCCGGGAGCCGTCCAACCGGTGCCGCGACAAATGTCGCCTAATTGATCCTGGCAAAAAAGCCCGCTAAGCGCCCCTCGCGTTGCGACAGGACTTAGCCTATACAGCTTGGGTATATGTCACGTAACCAGCAACACATGACATACCAATAACGGACATCGCTGTAAAAAGGAAAAAAATACACGACGGGGGAACACCTGGCCAAGTGTTGTGCCCGAAAACGCCACAAGGATGTACGTTTTTCGATGTTTGAGCAAAACTGTACAAGGACGCTAACGGCCTAGAACTTTGTGGAAGCTTATCCTTCCTGTTGTTGCTTGTCATTGGTTGCATAGCGTGTTTGCCATGAAAAATGTAATGTTGTGCTTAAGTTGATAAGTGTTATTCGGGTGGTAGTGTGACTGCTTAATCATTCTCGAACTGATGCATGCAGTTATATAATGAATTCATATCCGTATGCTACCGGATATGGACTGTATAAATTACTTAGTAAACCTTGTATGAAGTGCAGTACAAATCCCGCGCTATATCACAAAGTGTAAGCGCTCGAGACTCGAGTCACAGTGCATTGCTTACCCTGATCTGCCCATAATCCTGCACCTGGTAACCTTTCGGTCAGCTTCGTGTTATCCAACTGGTCATGCTCGGCCCATGTATGTCAGAGATTCATCCTCATCAGACGGCACGCCTGACTCTAAAAGCTCCTGTAACTCGCCTATTTGTGCGCTAGCGTGCAATGTATCGGCTGATATTTCTGTGACCTGTACCCTAATTCCAAGTACCCTTGTCACTCCTTCATGCAAAATCTTGTCTCCAGGCACACTGGCGGCCGTCTCAAGTCGCATGTAATGTAGAGCGCTCTGTTACCAGGCCTTTGTACTTCCATTCTACGTCTCAGAAACGCTACCTGAATCCAAAAACCTCTCGCACTTCCATTTATAACTAAGCAATATGTCACGGTCTCTGCGTCCACTAACCACCTTCATCTCCCCCCAGGAGATGTCTTCGCTCTCGTACGTACCCGTGGAGCCGTACTCTGCCGACTCGGACTGGCGGTACCGAGCCGAGGGCGGCGCCAACATCGTCATCAGCATGCCGCACCAAGGACGCGTGCTGCGCTTCCCCAAGACGGCACACGCCGAGCCTATCCAGGTGGCCCGCCTGCGCCGCCTGGCCGATTACCGCAACTTCGTGATCGCGCCGCTGCTGGGAGAGCTGGGCGGATCGCCGTGGCAGGTGGTACGCCTCTCGGAGGAGGACCGGCGCCGACTGGCGACCGACATCGAGCCGAGCAGGCCGCCACGGCGTCGCGGCAACGCCATCAACCCCGGAGGACTGGCGCTGAAGATGGACGACTGCGCGGTGTTTCCGTCGCCGGCGGCCCCGCTGGCACCGCCCACGGCGCCGCCGCATGTGTTCAGCGTAGAGATCAAAGCGAAACAGGGCTTTCTGTGTGCAGATGATGATCTGGGCGTGTGCAGCTTCTGCATGAAGCAATACCTCAAGCTAAAGCGCGGTACGGTACAACAGGTGAGTGGCTACTGTCCACTGGATCTCTTTTCGGGCGAGTTCGACCGATTTGACCGCGCGTTGCGGTCGCTACTGGACAGTCCGCAGAACAACCTGCGGGTGTTTCTGGACGGTGAGTTTGTGTACGGGGCTGGCGCCAGAGGTGACCGCGACCAGCTGCTGGACGCTGTGGCTGAGGTGATGGCGGAGCGACGGCCGCCGCAGGCCGACCGGCTTCTGAAGCTGTGGACGCGCCTCATGTTCACCGTGCTCTGTACCAACGACAGCCAGAGCGTCCTCCAAGAGGAGGAGGAGGACGAAGAGTCCTGCCGACCGGCCGGCTGCTGCGTTCCCGGCGCCGGCCTGCCTCCCCGTTCGTTCCTGGGACGCGTGCTGCGCGGTCAGCGCCTGGCGGCCGCCGGGCCGACCCAGACCTCGCAGCTGCTCGACCAGATGACGGCAGCCGAGCCCAACCGCGTGGAGGAGGCGTTCCGCACGCCCTTCTCGGACCCGCTGTGGACACGGGTGGTGGCCGACGCCGACATCGAGCCCGTCGACGCGCTCGAGGCTCTCCAGAGGTACAGCATCGGCGCGACGATGCGCGACGCGTCGCTGATGATCACGATGCGCCGGGCGAGCGACGGAGAGGTGGACGCCGGCCTGCGCCAGGTGACTGACTCTGCCGGCCACCGGTGGGTGGTGCTCTGTCGTCTGATGGACCTCGACCCGAAGCACGTGCGTCGCGTCAGCCGACAGCGGCTCAAGAAGGAGAAGTCCAAGGAGCTGTACCTTCGCGCCCGGCACCCGCGAGGAGAGGCGAACCGTGGCGTGCCCATCCCGTGTAGTGTCAGCGACGAGGGCATCGACCATCTGCTGGCTGTGTCAGGGTCTCCGATGTGAAGAGACGGCATCCACCGCCTGCTGGCTGTGTCAGGGTTTCCGATGTAGAGACGACTCAACCGCTTGTTAGCTGTGTCCGAGGATCCGCGACGGATGATCGGTGGGTGCAAGGGACGGGGGATGACCGTAGACGTTTCGTTTAACCCTCGCCCTGGCAGGGCATTTTTCATAACTCGGCCTGGCAGGGGGGGGGGGGGGGTCGATGCGACCCCCCCTCGCGATTGGCTCCTATGGCACCTAGAAACACCAAATTTGGTAGGTAGGTGGGCCCCCTGGAGTTCTCACCCCTGTGCAAATTTGGTTGCTCTAGGTCAATATTTAGGGGGGTTTTGGGGGGGTATAAATGTAAAAATTTCGCTAAAAACAGGTCAAAAGTTTTTCGCTTATAACTTTTGATTAAAATAAGATAGAGCAAAAAGAAAAGCACCAGTGAACTCAGCACGTCAAGGCGCATCGAATGATATACTTTTTAGCTTGGTTAAGTGTACTTAAAGTTTTTCTTAAATTTTAAGTAAACTTAAATTAATAAATTAAGTTAAAGTTAACCGAATTGCATCATATCGCATATCATTCGACTCGGCTGATCACCAGGAACACAATGGTACCATTTTTAAGCTCTAGCGTCATTATGTGCCAAGTTATTGGCAGAAACGTCATTTGACCTCAGTTGACCTCATTTGACCTGACCCATGGATAAGTACACCAAACAAAGAAGCACCAAGTGACCTGCTGTTAAGTACTGTGGTTTCAAAGCACAAAAGTGATAGAACGAAGCGGATATCTCCAGTATTTTCCGAATTTAGTATTTTCCCATAGGCTTAACACTACGACGTAATGACCTATAACTGACCTCAGGTCAGTGACCTCAAAAAGCCAAACTATATGTTATACAACTCGGTGAACTTAGCACATCCTGAAAGTTTGAAGGAAATCAGTGCAAAACTGTGAGTTGGACAGGTGCAAAAAGAAAATTGAAATTTGACCATGACCTTGTACCGGTTTTACTGACCTGGTGACCTGACCCAAGGTCACCCGGACCTGAAATTTTCAGGTCATATGTAAAAAGGTTGCCCCATAGGCTGTGCCAAATTTGGCGGCGCTGCCCGCCGCCGTTTTTACGCTATCTTCGAAAAACCTTAGGGGGGTCGCATCGACCCCCCCCCCCTGCCAGGGCGAGGGTTAAGACACATAATTTCAAATGGTTTTAAGTTCCTGGAAGATGGTTTACGCAGGTGACCTTGTCTGGGTAGTGCGGATCTTTCTTTGGCGTGAGCCTCGTTGATACGTTCGTACTAAATGACGGAATGCAGTGGACATTCTGAACATGCTCCTAAGAATTTCGAAAAGTCGGAACATGTCATCGTGATATCTGATTGCTACAAAGCTAATTGATATATGCGTATTGATTTCATACATACATAGACCGATAATGTGCGGATCGGTCCCAAGTGGAAGTGCAACTGATGTAGAAACATCCGAATGGTATGACCGTGTGTCCAAAACAGACCGTATAGTATGTTGGGTGCTCTTCTTTGCCGCAAAGCTCTTCTGGTCGAGTAAAGGACTGGGCCTTCTTAGGCTTTGGAATTATGTTTGAGCTGACATTGACAATGAAAAAACTTGTCCTTCAAGAATACCATGGCTGTTTGTATTACAGCATGTATTTTTAAACTCAATGTGCATTTTTACTTTTCATGAGAACCAACAGGCATGCATAAACCACATTCATGTGGTGTTTTAACATTTAAGTGGTAATTTGTTTATCCAAGGGCGTATCGCATCGTTTCCTATCTCATGGTATGACACATTCGCATTTTTACCTGGCATGCGCTTTGGCGGAAAAGTATGTTAAATTGTTATTGCTTTCTCCCTTCTTGCTCGGTGGTTCTGGAGCTACGAGTAGCTAGACTGTTCAACTTCCCCATTCAGCCATCCACCTGATCAATGTCTGGCTGAGAAACAACATGAAAATGCGCAATGTCTGTCACATGTGCAGAATGACTACTGACGAGCCGCTGGCCTAGGAGTCTGAGCAATTGCGCCGTCAGTGGGTCAGACGCCGACCCAATGACGATGGATACGCGCTGACCCAGCCGGTCCTTTGAGACCGAGCTGTCACGTGCTGATCACATGAGTCGCGCCAAGGATGGCCTCCGCTGAGACGTGCCTCGCAATATGTCCTTGGTCTCAGGTGTTTTGTTGGAAATGTTTGTCCATCGCCTGCTTCCGGCTCGGTGCGTTTTTGCTGAGAATGAGTGGATCGAGGAGAATAACGCTGTTTTAGTGAGCTCGGACTCGGACCGACCAGAAAGTCGCCATATTGCTAAACGACTGCTTGTGGCTCGAATGGTTGACTGAATGTGAAATGTCATTTACCGGGAGTGTTTGCACTGCGAAAGTGACGAGAGATCTTCGACGGGGGCAGTGGTGATGGGAAATGTAGGTGCTATTGAATAGTCTGATAAGAGTGTTACGTAACAACTTGACTGATCCATCTCACCATGCAAGCCGTCCTCACCATGTTCTACCGGCCTACCCTGGGCTCGTGCCCGCCGGTTCGCCGGTCATTTGTTGGTCTCTGTACCACAAAGACAAGTGCAAAATGTCGTGCCATGTCACTATCACGCGCGCCTGAACGTTGCGTGGTTATTATTCTATATTCGCTCGCTCCATGTGCCGGTTGATTATAAGAGAATGCAAGTTGTTAGCCCGGTGCGTTAATGTAGAACCGTGTATACAGGACTGTGAGAGCCGTCTTTCCGGCCTGTCTTTCGAGAAAATAAATAAATATACATGACATATAACGTATGTGATGTACGGAGATTTTTGCCACACAATGGCCACCAAAACGAATGATGATTTTAGTTAGAAATGAGATAATCTGGTTGACATGGATGAGGGTGGGCCCGAAGATTATGATACATATGTAAGCTGCAAGCATTGCTACTGACAGAGCTGGCACTGCGCACATTAGCAGCCTGAAGGATCTGCTGAGGGTATATCTTCGGGGTCAGTTGCCACGCGAAAAAAAGATTAAAAATATGAGCGGAGCTGCTTATCGAAATTCGAATCTCAAAACGTGTTCTCACTCATTACTTCAAATTTCAATGACTTCTTTCATATCAAATGCTGTAACTCTACCCGTTTCGTAAAATCGCCATAACATGATTATGTAATAGTTGATCAAACACTGCCGCAGGGTACAGATGATTCCCCATCTCACGCAGCTCGGCGGGGGCGATGCTCCGTCTGGGTCCGGTCCCGGTGTCTGGGTCCGGCCTGTGGGGTCACCTGACGGTGTGGCAGGGTTCAGGGACGATCGACAGAGGCCAGGGGCCGCCTGCTGCCGCTAATTTGCCGAGTGTCGGCTCTGGGGAGGGGGCGCCCCGGGCCGGACAACACGGCGGCACGAGCCGCGCTGCCGCTCACTGCTGGGAAGTCCGAGACGGGTGCGGCAGCCGCCTCCTCCAGCCGTGTTGTGGGTCAGACGGGTGGGCCGCGGCGCCGGCTGGGGTGCTCTTGCAACTGAGGGTCTCACGGGGACGCAGAGATGGCGATGGTGCTAAAATGAAGCAGCTGTGCTACAGCATGATAGTATCATTTGAGATTTATAAGTAGCATTATCTTTCAAAGTTGTCGAATTCTTGCCTTTTGCATGAGTGTCGATTTCAATAGATGTATACATGCGAACATTTGTATGGTCGAAATTATTCAAAACGGTGACGCTACACTTGAGATTTAAACCCACGCCAGGAATGGGTGGGAGAGGGGGCGTTTGAACACCCCTCGAACATTCCCCGAATCGAATATTCCACCTGTGACCCCTTTTCATGCCCTCGAGGTCATCTCAGGTCATGAAAGATCTCCAGCAGTTGTTGACAATAACTTTTGATAGGGCAATGAAAACGCCTTTGGTGTGTTCAGCTCAATGGCACGAATTGAATGCTATGCAATATGACCTTCTTAGGTCAAGTCATGACCTTGGTTTTTAGAAAACAATGTCGTGCAAGTTTTTAGCCAAAAGCTTTTGCAGAAAAACATTATCCACAAAACATCCAGTTATTTTGACAGTGTTTTTTTCTTTGGAGTCTAAAACCGTTGATTTAAGGTCAAATATGACAATTTAACTTTTCAAAAGGTAAGAGCTAGCCGACCTGTTACAGTATCAGCCCGTTTTGGTCTTCCAAGGTCCACGAAAATGCTGAGTAGTATTGAGAAAGTGGGCACCGAAAATCAGCCACAAATGGCGTTGACAAACCGCAACGTCCCGCTAGACTCGCGTGGCGTTCCCAACACCCACATCGCGGTATCACAACCCGATACAAAGTGTTCGAGTGGGAGCGGTGTGGTGAGCATGGCCACAATCCCAATGTCAACAAATGCATGGTACATAGGCGATAAATCCAGTCAATAGGGATGTGCACAGTCGCGTGACATTTGCGGTTTTGTCAACAACGGTCGGGTAGAATCGGTGGCACAAACAAACGGTCACGCGTGGAATAACCTAGCCGGAACTTCTCTGATAAACAATGCAAGCAATGCTAAGTAGTCGAATTTCGCATGCTGCTAATCCTAGCCTTATTTTATCCCCTATTCCTGAAAGTCAAACGGGACGCGTCCCGAGCGTGACGAAAACATTTGTACGGTTTGCGGTTAGCTTCTTCGAAAGGTTGTCGCCTCTTTCGGGCTGTCCATCCGTGAAGCCTATGGACCGTTAACTAACGTACGTAATGTTATCGACGACAGCGCCTCATAGTTCCGGCTGGCTGTTTTCAAACAGCGTAGCACCTCTGGAAGATGGACGGCGCTGTATTTCTGTGGAAGTATTGCATGCTGGAGGATTGAAGAAAACACGAGAAGGGAGTTCAAAAGCTCATTAAAGCCGAGATGATGCTGCATAAGCCATGTTTCGGCACACCTAATCTATGCGGATGTCTTATTTAAAATGCGCATCTGAGCCTAGCGGTGCCACTAAAACAGAACGAGTTTTAAATCTTACGGTTATATTTCATGGTAGATTTCTAAATAATCTCGATGAAGGGCTACTGTTAAAATCAAAAGCAAGCGAATAGAATACGGGACGGACCCCAATAGTGTCTCAGGAGCTTTTTTTTATTGAATCCGTATTCCGTGTAACTATTTAAATTAAAGGGACCCTCCCACCTTCAAAAAAGTTAATGAATTTGCATGAAAGTAATGTCACTCGGTTCAGAAAGACCGAAAACGAAATCTACTAAATTTATCGAAAAATATTTACTGGTTTTCAAGATATTATACTTTTACTTTTGGTTACTTTTTGGGATCTCCGCTGTTCCATAGCGACTTTATTTGAAAGTGCGGCACTTGTTGCGCGCAAAGCAGCATATACCACCGCGTGCTACCATACGTTTTAGTAAAAGATTTAAAATCGTTAGATCTGCGCTGACGTCACACATTCAGAGGGGACATTCTAATGCATTAGCCGCGCTGAATCCAAGTGCTGCAACTTTGAAATTAAATATTTTGATTTGAGGCATTTCTTGATCTTGTGAGTGCTCAAACCGGTACCCCATTTTGGCTATCTCAACTCAAAACTAATGTTAAGGTGGGATGGTTACTTTAACCCGCGCCCTGGTGGGGTCTGTTTATAACGCGACCTGGTGGGGGGGGGCTATTTTTTGCCCCCCCCCTCGTATCTCCGAAACTACTGCACGGATCCGCAAAATTCAAACGGCGTTCGAAAGGCCTGTCAAATTTGTCGCAGGAAACCAAATTTCATTGACCTCGGGGTCACCGATGACGTCACAGGTCAGGTCAAAGATGAAATGTTTCTCCGTTCACGGGTGTTTTAGGGAATGCGCTATAACACCGAGGAAAACGCATTTTCTCGAGAATCAGCGGTAGGGCGTCAGTTGCCTAGTAGATATGTTGCTATTAGAGGTCACTGGCAATACCAGGTCAGGTCACAGGTCAGGTCACCAAGGGTCACAGGTCAGGTCACATGAGCCCAACTTTACTAAGGTTGTGTGATACATGTTTTATGGCCAATTTTTCATTTCCAACTCAATGGTGTTGGTTATAAGACTATCAGGTACGGCTAAGGTCACTTTCTGGTGAAGTTCAGGTCAAGGTCAGGTCAAGGTCAGGCCAAAAAAGGTCAAATTTTAAAGTTGATAGTTTTGCATAAAATGGGTATTGATTCGATGCAGCTCGTCACGGGGAGTCTAATGGTGGTCTTTGTTTTGCGCTACGGGGTCTAGAATTGCTAAAAATTGAGTTTGAAAATTTGACGTCATCAATTTTGAACAGTTTTTTCGCTATAACTTCGCCAAAAAAAGATATATCAATCTCAAATTTGGTATGTGGATGGAAGGCGGTAAGGACTATCACATATATTCCGGTTTTTGCGAAATTCAAAAAACTTTTTGGATTTTTCGATAATTATATTCAAAAAATCTAATTTTTAATTTTTGGGGGTCAAAATCCAAAAATTTCAAAAATCCGAGAGAGCAGTTTTGTAGCCCTGTCCAATCTACAGCTTTTATGTCCTTATCATTTTTCTGTATTTGCAAAGCTATAGGCCTGACAGCTGTTCCCGCGAAACCCTTTTTTGGGTCGAAAATGGCAGAACATGACGTCACTCTTACGTCATTTCCGGCCAACCTATCATAGCCATTGGAAAAATTTTTGGTCACAATGTGTAAAATTGATGTCCGGGAGGGTACTGAAAGTTTGGTGACGATCGGCGCAGCGGTTCTGGAGATATATCGAAAAGTCTGGAGGGGGAGCAAAAAATAGCCCCCCCCCCCACCAGGTCGCGGGTTAAGGGCCTAATTGAGTCTAATATCTTTTTGCTTTTAAACTATATGGACACTGAGCAGTGAGCAGATCCGCACCATGACTCATCGTAACCCACCATTGGAGCTATTAAAGGGACCCTCCCAGCTCCCACCTCCAAAAAAGTTAATGAATCGGCATAAAGGTGATGTCCCGTGGTTAAGAAAGATCAAAAATGAATATCTACCAAATTTCACCGAAAAACATTCACTGGTTTTCAAGATATTAGATTTTTACTTTTGTTTACTTTTTGGGACCTCCGCTGTTCCTAAGACGTCACTTGGAAGCAATAATTTTGCATCCTAAAAGTGCGGCAGAAATTGCGCGCTAAACAGCATATACCACCACCTTTGACCGATAGTTTTAGTATAATATTCAAAAATTGTTAGATCTTCGCTGACATCATAAATTCTAAGGGCCATTCAAACGCATTAGCCCCTGGAATCTGAAAACTGCAAGTTTGAAATTGAAATTTAAATAACTCCGAATTAAAGCAGTTCTCGATGTTGTGAGTCCCCAAACCGATAAGTGCAAGCCAGGGACCCCGATTAAAAACTAATGCTAAGGTGGGATGGTCACTTTAAGTAAGACCGTCGATTTATATTTATGATAGAAACATTTACATCAGAGCAACCAGTATTGAGTTGTGTTAGTCTAAAAATCTGTCCGAATGTATAAGGACGAATAGCAAAGTATTTCATTAATTGTTTCACCTGGCACCACACCTGCACCATCACATAACGGCAAATATGCATTGAATTTAGACATTCTTCCGGGGCAACGAGTGGCTCGTTTTCCAGGTTTGTTTTAACGCCAGCATGAATGCTTTGTGATTCATATTTTAATAAGCTGTGTGATACCACGTATTGAGGGTAGGTATTGTTAGTTGTCCAGATTGTTTTATCACAAATTCTTTTGATAAATAGGTACCCTTGTCTAGTTTTTTTTTCATATAACTATCATAGTGCAGCCGAGTCAAAACACAGCCTAATTTTTCACATAACTTCAGAATCCTCATTGAGCAATGAGCATGCTTTGACATGAATCACGACTAAAATGAGGTGAAGTCAAGGTTGCGGTCACTCTTCAAAACGTTCAAGCTAAAGCAGCCGTAAAGAGCATTTTTAGAGCATTTCGTGCCTTTCCACAAAGTACACCGAAACTGCCTATACCCCGGCCTTACAATACGACCTATAAAATCCACTGGTAGGTATTTGCTAAGTCAGGATTATGACAGGATGATATAGACTGAAAAACGATTATAAACCACCAGATCCCGTTATAATAACAATAAAACTTATTTCAGGATAAGTCCTGAATCCGTTCAAACCAATAGGCGGACCGATACGTGCATTATTATCCGGGGTTGGCACTGAGCATACATAAGCAACTGACGAGGAAGCTTTAGCAGAATCCGGCATTCAGGGGCTCTTAACTGTCTTTGAAAGAGGATGCATATCGTGATGTTACTCAACCAAAATATGGTGAACAAGAGAGCCGATCTTAAAGCCAGCTCATCATACAATGTTGAGCACCCTGGCATTTTGAACAAACAGGTCATATCAGAACTGAATACGAGTTAGGACTCAATCGTCAAGTAGCCGGGGAGGCGAGTCAATGCCTCCTGCCACTGAACACTGAGCAGTTTATAAGACCCCACCACCAAGGTATCGGAGAGGCGAGCCAACCCCGTCTGCCCGACTGCGCCATGTTCAGCTCGGACAAAGGGCGGCCGGGGCGGCCCGGACAGGGAGCGCCGGCCATTGGGTCCGAGCGGCACGGCGGGCGCGGAGGCCGATCTCGCCCTCGTAATGAGAGAGCCCCAGGCGTCCTGTGGCCGTCCGTCCATGGAAACGGTACTGCTGAGACGGTGCTCAGCCGGGTGCACCGGGAAGCGGACTACACAACCAGCAGCTCTGGTATTTCCGGATAGGAACTGCCTTTATGACCCCGGGGCAGCATATGATAAAAGATAGTAGCTGCACAGCTGAGCTGGCGCGGTGTGATCACATGGAGCTGTCAAAACATCGGTACATAATACATAATGTTTGATGCTCAACTACTGGCTAGAAGCCAAAGATGGATGTGCGACGTGCGTGTAAGATAATCGCATAAATGGTAAGCGGAACAAATGTTTGCTCAGAACTCTCATGAAAAGTCGCCCCGCTGCGACAATTTATAGCTTCTCGTATCGGTGAAACGCATGGGGTTCCAACTAAAGAGATAGGGATTGAGTCCGTTTTTACGACTTCAACGCAGCTATTATGGTCCCGAGAAGTGCGGCACTGCCAGGATCGGTCATCCGCAGTGCACTACACTCATTCACCGAAGGGTTAGAAGCAGGGATGCGGAGCCGGAGCCGGAGCCGGAGCCGGAGCGGCCGGAGCCGGCATATTTTGCCCTGAGCCGGAGCTGGAGCCGGAGCCGTGAAACGGCCGGAGCCGGAGCCGGAGCCGTCAAAAAAGGGGCGACTCCGGCTCCTTTTTTTAAGAGGAAACAATTATTTACCTAGTTCGGTTTGACAGTACAAGGCGTAAAACATTGTGGTATTCAAAATAGCCTTGTTATACAAATACAGAAGCAACGTGCACCAATCCCATCGCCTTTTTTCTTCCACCCGTATTTAATTGATCGCATAGGGGATGTACTGAGTAGAAGCCGGAGCCGGAGCCGCCGGAGCCGGATCATTTTACTCGGAGCCGGAGCCAGAGCCGGAGCCGCCATGACATTTCACCCGGAGCCGGAGCCGGAGCCGGAGCCGATTTTTTTCTCCGGAGCCGGAGCCGGAGCCGGAGCCGTCTGAAATTTCCACGGCTCCGCATCCCTGGTTAGAGGCAGTGCACTGCACTTCGGTCACTGGAGGGGGCAGCCTGTAGAGAGTAGACAGTGTGCCACACCCGGTTACTGGATTGGGCGGACTGTATGTATACCGTGCGCGGCACACGCGGTCACTGCCCTGGAGGGCGCGGACGATGCCAGTGACGCGGAGGAAGACCGATCGCCACTACCCAGACTGCGTGGGCGTCATGATATCTCTGCAAATTCTGTCAACTACCTGGAATTTCCCCATCAATGGCCAGGCTCAGGACTTGCACAACAAGCCGCGCATTGCGTGGGCGGGTGGAGAGCCGGTGATGCCGGCCATTCATAATGTTGAAGACATTTTAGGAATTCAGATACTTATTAGCAAGAATCGCTAAGCATGGCAAAACTCTCCATAAATACCAAAATACCGAAGGTTAATACACAATTACACACACAAGCTAAAAAAACTAAATAAAATGAAATTGTGGAGGCCGCTAACTACGCTGTTTGGAACCGCCATTCACTTGTAATTCTCCTCTCTTCAATGGCCGTTCTCCCGACCCTGAATCAAGTGATGTCACGCTCAGCCCACGTTCAGCGAGCACTCGTGACCGGGCGATGATGAATGCTCCCGGCTCCATCTGGCCGGCGAAGTAGCACGCACTTTACATGCTGTCGGGACGGGCGGAGGGAGCGCCGTCCCGTCCCCCCTCGCCGCGCTGCAGACGGGGAGTGTCTGTGGCCGCGCTGAAAGCTGGCGGTGCGGACTGTCTGACAATAACGAGCACCGGTCGGCCGCCCACCGTCCCAGACGGGCCAAATCGCCGTCTGCTCGGCCCCGCCGGGCGCCCACGCACAGCGCATGCCGTGATTCTGCAGGTCAGCACCGGACTGCGGGCGGGTTTGTCGGTCAGCGCGAGAGACTGGCGGGGTTTGTATGTCAGCGCGAGGGACTGGCGGGGTTATGTATGTCAGCGCGAGGGACTGGCGGGGTTTTCATGTCAGCGCATGGGACTGGCAGGCTTTGTATGTCAGCGCGAGGGACTGGCGGGGTTTGTATGTCAGCGCGAGGGACTGGCGGGGTTTGTATGTCAGCGCGAGAGACTGGCGGGGTTCGTATGTCAGCGCGAGGGACTGGCGGGGTTTGTATGTCAGCGCGAGGGACTGGCGGGGTTTTCATGTCAGCGCATGGGACTGGCAGGCTTTGTATGTCAGCGCGAGGGACTGGCGGGCTTTATATGTCAGCGCGAGGGCCCTGCTGGATGTTACAGGTCATCATGAAGGCTTGGGTGGATCTACTAGGCTGGGGAGGAGATTCAAGCGGTATTGCACAAATATGAGTGCAAAACGTCACAAAAAGCGATATTTTCTGACATGACATTTGATCTCTTAATATGTGAGATGGTGCTTTTTGCCATGATGAATGGATAGATTTGGTCTCTCTTTACACGAAAACAAGTGCACTAAAAAGGGGCTATGAGAACCTGGCATTTTTTTTTCTTTTTAGCATAGGTACTGCTCCCTATATGAAAATTAAAGTTGTATTTAACTAGAAGGAAGGATTAGCACAGGTCGTGGCGAGCTGTCCTACACGAGGGAATTATGAATTGTGGTATGTACAATGTACATAGGTACTATTATGAGATATACCATTCAATTGGAAAATACGTGGGGTTTGCGGAGATAAGTGCACCTCTTCCGCCTCCATCGCTTTCAGTCCCTAAGGTACAGCGATATTCTGTATAAGCAGTGCCTTTACATATTGTACGATAGTTTATTTTGTAAACTGCTGCGTAAAACTGCGCCTGAGCGCTCGAACAACTCTGAACATAAAGCGTCGTGAACATAATGAATGTACTTACTTCAGTGGCGAGCTTATTGCAACCCTCCGTAAGGCAAAAACATTGCAACATAGTATTAACAGCGTATTCTGGTTTGTGTAAATCACTGAAATTTAACTATGACATGGAAAATGATTTGTTGGCTCCTATTGGCCAAGAAGTGAGTATGATTGACGATTAAGAGAGAGAGAGAGAGAGAGAGAGAGAGAGAGAGAGAGAGAGAGAGAGAGAGAGAGAGAGAGAGAGAGAGAGAGAGAGAGAGAGAGAGAGAGAGAGAGAGGAGAGAGAGGAGAGAGAGAGAGAGAGACGTGCTGTTTCAATATTTATCGATAATTTCTCCGATAAATATTAAACAGAATATACACGGTGTACCACTGTTCACATCGTCTTGCATTACAGCAATCATATCAACTTAACCCGCGCCCCACTAGAGGGGGGCTATTTATAGCCCCCCTCCCGTTTTTCTGCAATAACTTCCAAACCGCTTGACGTATCGACGCCAAACTTTCAGTACCTTAGGCTGCATCAATTTGACACCTTGTGTCGAAATTTGAACTTCATAACTACTATAGGTCGGCCGGAAATGACGTCAGAGTGACGTCATGTTCGGCCGATTTCGATGCAAAACATTGAACCACGGCAATCGCTCCCAAGAGCTCAGTTTTTAAGCTAGATCCAATTTCTTTGCATGAGAGGACTCCGAATAGACTGCGCTATCAAACTGCTATCTCGGTTTTCGAAATTTTGAAAATTTGGAAAATTTAATATGATAAAATCCAAAATTTATATTTTTTCAAAAAGTTTTTGACTTTTCAAAAAACCGGAATATATGTGATAGAACGCATTATTATGACTAACTCTAGCAGGTTTTAGCTAAATATCTTCAAAAATGGCCATGTTTTAGGCATTATTGCAAAAAATCACAATTATTAATTTTCAAATCAATTTTTCAACACGTATCGTATCATCGTACGCCAATATAAATAGCACCATCGTGTTTCTGAGCTCAAACTGCATCCAAACGACACCTTTTTTGTTGACAAATTTTAACTTCAAAATTTGACCTTTTGTGACCTGAAAGTGACCTGACCTAAGCTAAATTCGACTCAAAATGACCTCGAATGACACAGACGACATCAAATTCGAAACATCTGACCTAAATGGACCATAAAACATGTGTCACGTGACCGACGCATGATATTATATTTTCGTGACCTGTGATGACCTGACCTTGACCTGAAAAATCAAAGTACAAGTTTGGTACCCTCAGGGTATCTAGAGCATCTGTTCACGAGTGTGTGATCCAAAAATGAGCCTGATCTGACTTGTAAGACGGCGGCTAGAGCCCAAAACGTGAACAAGCCAGAATGCTAATAATTTTTACTTTGACCTGACCTGTGACGTCATCGGTGACCTCGAGGTCAATGAAATTAGGAGCCATTCGACAGTTTTTCCGGGGCTATCAGACGCCGTTTGAATTCGGACGATCGGCCCAGTAGTTTCGGAGTTAGGAGGGGGGGAATATGAATAGCCCCCCCCCCCCCAGTAGGGCGTGTTATACACAGACCCCAGTGCACACTGGGCCGATCGCCAGGTCTAGCACGACATGGGTAAAAAAATCGAACTTTGTGGATGTGCAATGAAACCTATACCAATTTGTTCAAAAATGATCATACTACATTGCTGTGGTCTTTGTTTTTCAACACAATTGCTATTTCATGGCGAAAACTCAGCTTAAACACGAACTTCGGAATCGTTTGGACCGAACTCGTCCCCCGCACTCTTCGACAACGTATCTTTGATCCACGAAAACAATCACAATTTGAGGAGGAATTCCACATTTATACATCAAACAATAGCTCAGGTTCTGCAGAACACACATAACCACATGAAAATGGCGAACTCTTACTTGGTTATGATGTATTTGCACCGCAAAGATTTAAAGACGAAAAATAATTTCACATAATTGATGTCACACACAAATAGACTTTTAAAAAAGTACCGCAAAGTACCGCCTCGAAAATCTCGCTACATGTCAGTGAGTCATTGCAGTACAAGATCCAACAGTCATTTCTTGCGACTTTTTGCGACTTTGGATGTAGCAGTCAAACATCAACCCGCGCCGGACCGGTACTCGGCGTCAAACGCGCCGAGCCGGGAGGTGTTGATTGAACACTCCCCCTTCTAACTCGGCTCCTGGGCCACATAGGGACACGTAGTAAGTGGCATTCGAAAGAGCGCCCGAAATTCCAGATAGATTAATTAGTCATTTCGAGGTCAGGTCAAAGGTCGCGTCACCAGAGGTCATCAAAGGTAAAATGTTGCGTATATCACCATTTCTCGAAACACCGGCCCTTACTTCGGGGACCAATAGAGCTACATCGTCGCAAAAAAAGTGCATTCAATTGCTCTTTTAGAGGTCTTTCTGAAATAACCCCTCAGATTTGGCTTAACCCTCGCCCTAGTGGTGTTTTTTCCAGCCGCGAACGTATAGAAGGGGTCCGTTGGACCCCCCTGCCGTTTCGCCCCTGATCGAGCTAGAGCTTCGCGGAAAAGACGAGCGTTTTGCCCGTGACAAGAGGAAGCTGACGATACCCCATTGTAAGGTCCTAGGTCATCGGTTGACCTTCCAGGTCAGGTCAATGACCCAAAAGTCGGGAAAATCGGGACCTGTTAGAACGTCGTAAAGGGTGGCTGCTATGGTTTTTTTTTTGGTGCTGATCACGAATATAATGTTATTTATGATCATAGATGATGTCTTCATGCATTTAGGCCAGGTTGGGTCAGGTCAGGTCAGGTCAACCAGTAAGGGTTTTGCCGGGAACCTATTTGTAGTAGGTGGCAACCGCCTCTGACAGCTTCGTAACATGTTACGAAGGCACCAAAGCTTCATAGTAAATGTTCAAATGGTTGCTAGATTCGAATTCAGCTCCAAAAACTAGCCTAGAAACATGTAAAACTCGAAAAAGTGAACCAAGGTCATCAAAGGTCATTGACCTTACCTGACCTTCCGGTGACCTTGACACCCACCGTAATGCATGGGAGCAACATAATATCCCATGTTTGAACGCTTTAAAGCACGAAAAGACTGCAAACTCGCGGCTAATGCGAGCCGACATACGCTGAATCGCGATTCCGGCCAAGCATGGTCTCGAAAGAAGGTCACAGGTCAAAGATCATTAAAGTCAGGGTCATGATATTTTCAGGTTAGCTGTGAAATTAATTATCGCGAGGGTACTGAAAGTTTCGTTGCGATCGGCCGCTTTTTACGCGAATTAGTCGCGAAAAACAGAGGGTTCCGTTCGAAGATTCAGGCCCTGTCGCGCTAGAATGGCATATCGGCCCACTGTGCAGTGGGGCGGGTTAAGTGTCATGTCATTTAGACGTCCCTAAGGTCATATGAGTTTTTTGTTAATGACTCCCGATCAAATTGAGCTAGTGAGTCGGGAACACAACCAATGGACTATGGAAGACCTGCCGAATCGAATGATATGCGATATGACCTCATTCGATTACCTTTGTGACCTGAGTGGCTCTGACCTGACGTTTACCCGAGGTCACCTCCTTCAAACTGACCTCACCAAAACAAAAGTACATCATTTGACGTGCCTGAGAACAAAGAACATGACGGTGCTAAAATCACGGTTCTGCGACCATTTCTGGCGAAGTTATTTACCTAAAACCGAACCCGTATCTTGAGGCACGTGACCTGACCTCAGAGATCACCGGTTGGCCTGAGATCTTAAAATCGGGTACCAGTCTCTGCGCCTCGAGACGGTGCATACGCTCGTTTTTCTAGAGGATCTAACTCAATTAAGGGGTGAAACGGCGAGGGGGTCGTACCCGCGCCACCCCTTTGGCCAGGGCGTATGTAGAAATCAATAGGTCCGGCGAGGGATCGATATTAGCTAGGAAAAAGCATCACTAAGTAATAAAGCGTGTCATTTGTATTCAATATAAACGCAAATTGAATGCCACGAAAATATATATTTGCATGATATCGCGATAACTGCCAAGGGATAAACAAGGTTCAGGTTGCATTTACAGTGCTCTTTCTAAATACGTGTCTGGCCACCCAGAGGTCGATAAAATGCTTGGAGTTGCTCCAACGAACATCTTAGTCCCACCACTGTCTCCAACTTAGCCCTCGCCTGGCGGGGGGGGGGGGAGCAGCCTCCCTAAGTTTTTTTTTTCGCGAATAGCGTAAAAGTTGGTGTCGCGTAGCGCCGCAAAATTTGGCACAACGTCTGGGAATGAGCCTTTTGCTACCTATCCTGAAAATTCACTGCCATCCGCCGCGTCGGCACACCGGTATCTCCTCACCCTCTCCCCACACGGCCTTGACTCCCCAACTCACACCATCACACTGATCACACTACTGCATACGGTGACCGGTCGCACGGTGGATCTGAATGCCTACGTTTGCGCGCCAAAGTCTGAAACAACTAACGATTATCATCAGCTTAGAGATGTTGAAATTTAGCATTTTAAAGCTTCTAATTCAAAAGTTTATATTTGTGCTTTAACGCACTTGTCCGTATTGATTGAGAAAAGAGCGGACTTTTATCGTATTACCTAATGCGAAGTAACGCAATCGAAGTGTGATTTCGGTCCACTGTGCGTTTTCAGGCGCGCTCGATAAAACGCCCAGGCCTGGAGAAAGTTGGAAGGGTGATTTTCTGATCCTCCTTACCACAAAATGACCCTAAGCGAAAAAATGCCCGCAGGGCGCTGCCAACGCGTGCCAGCGGCCCTGCTAGTAAGGGCGAAAATCAATGTATGTGTATGCGGAGCACACCCTTAGCGCTATGATGGCTCCTTGGAGACACCTGGAGAAACCTGTCCCGGCAGAAGGGTCAGGTCCCTCGCAGACGGCGCGGCACGGCGAGAGCTCAGCGGGTGGCCTAGCCGGAAAGAGGATAAAAATAGCCGACTGGCCCGACCCAGCGAGGGTGACCGAAGGGTGACCAGGAGTGAATGAGGGAACATACACGCGGTACTTACCGAGCAGCCGATAACAGCACCGGACGATTAGAAAGTCATAAGTCAATGCTGTATTTTAGGCGTAAGGAAGCATCCATGTAGACGGGCGGACTGTCTCCAGCTCTTCGAAGCATTGCTAATATCTTGCTCCAACGGGCGTTGGCACGTTGGAAGTTTTATCGACCACTGTGGCCACCGTCTTCTCAGCGCTCTCAAAAGCAGGGTCTCCTGTCCAACAGAGTCCTATATTGCTCGTTGATGGGCACCGTTTTCCAGAAGTTGACCCGTTCCCCAAACAGTTTTGCCCCTATCTCCGGCTGCGAATTGAGCCTCATGTGTAGCTGAGTGCGCTCCGTGAAGATAGGCCACTCGGGCATAGGCAGCACATCCGAACTGGGCCTACCCGTGCGTGCAAAGTTGGCCCACAGGTTGACCATAAAGCGGACCATGAAGTAGGCCCGAGTGCCAGGCTGCTGGAACTCCCTTGTGTCTCCAGTGAACAGATACAGAATGTCCTCATTGTGACCGACTCCCAGCTCGGTGATTGGGAACGGTAGATTGGCGGGCGCAGGCATAGTCCTGGAAAGTGTCAGCCGCCCGGGACCCCGGTGGTCCAACACGTATTTGTAGACGGGCGCATGGAGCGAGGCGAGGCGGATCTCCTCCGTAACCTCGTTCACGATCAGTCGATCGGAGAGAACGTGCGAGGGCTCCCACCGTGACCCTACGGTCTCCGATGAAGAAGTCGAGAACCCTGATTGTCTCTTCGATCGGGTTCGCGCCACAGTCAAGGATCCTGAACAGGGACTCGCCGGTCAGTTGGAGGAACCTGCTCCATGCGACTAGATTTTTCTGCGCTATTGCTTCGACAAACTCCTCGTCAGGTAGCCCAAAGGGAAGAAACGTGGCAGCCTCCAGTTCGGTCATACCGGAAATCCATGGAACTACGGTGAAGCTGCCTCTTAATAAAAGAACCCGTGCGTCTTCCGGCAGAAGAGGTAAGAATCTCTCTTGATCGACACGAGGGATGAATCCAATGGTGTCATGTTCGCCGGTGGCCTTCCAGGCCTCTAGAAGAACCGCAGCTGGAGTCCGTTTAACGCAGTCCACCAGTGCGTCGCTGTAGGGCTGAAGACATCCCAACTGCGCGGCTAGTTTGTCGGCCAGTCCCCTGCGCTTACCACTAGCCGCAAATAAGGAGAACGACACGCCCGACTGACTGATGGCGCGGTGGAACAAGCCCCTCCCTAGGGGGCTCAGTACCAGGAGCGAGACACTCGCCCCTCCTGCTGACTGGCCGAATATGGTGACCAGTTTGGGATCGCCACCGAACGCCGCGATGTTGTCCTGCACCCACTGCAGCAGCAGCACCTGGTCCAGCAGGCCGTAGTTTCCAGGAGCTGCCTCGTCATGTGTTGTGAAGAATCCGAATGGTCCGAGCCTGTAGTTGAACGTCACAAGCACCACCGGCTCGTCCATGAAGTAGTGCGGACCATAAATGTCACTGTCGCCAGATCCAACGTAGAATCCGCCTCCGTGAATGTAGACCATCACCGGCAGTCCGGTCAGAGTGTTCTCCCGTCCTGGCAGCTGACGGGTGTAAACGTTCACGAATAGACAGTCCTCGTCACCGATGCGGGTAATGTTGTTGTGTTGAGGTTGTTGTTGCTGCTGCTGCTCCTGCTGCTGCTGTTAGATGCCTGGAATTGAGAGCACTTGTTGCCATGTTCTAAAGTGTCTACTACGCCCCGCCAGCCGGGGTGGCGAAGTGGCGGCTCGAAGCGCAGAGGGCCCACGGGCGGCTGTGCATACCGGATTCCCTTGAAGCTGAAGAAGAGACTTCCGTCGGCGCTCCTGTCGGTCGCACCGCTCACCGTCCCCTCTAGAGTGGTCACCAGCGGCCGATAGGGCGGGCTCAGGTAGGCAGCGGCCGCAGCCGCCAGGAACAGTGTCAATAGCCTGGCCGCCATCCTGCAACTGGCCGTTGGCTGGGACGAGCGGCTCTGTCAGCTCCGCTCTACCGCTATCCCAGCAACAACAGGTTTCTTGGGCTTTTAAACACGATAATTGTTTCAGCTGTTTTATGGCAGTATCGTGCCGCGAGGATAATTTATATGCTTGTTATCTCATTCCTCCAAGTTTCCTGTGCTCGCAGTCATTGCTGTCCAGGGCCCTCCATCCCTCTATATCACTGCGCTGCCTGTCTGTGGGAACGCCCTAGGCTCCACGGCCATTTGTCACGACATCAGCCGTTTGCAAGGTTAATCTCGTGCATGTAAATGTTTTCTTTTTCCAGTTTGATTTTCCTTAAATTTCACTTAGAATGTCTCCGGAGTTAGATGAGACCGCCGATGATCTCCACAGTCTACATTTCAGGTGCCCACTGTCCAAGTCAATCATCGTTATTTCAGCTGAGTCTTCGTGGCGCCCTGCAATCTACGAAGGTAAAATTCGACAACCCCTTCTATTGCGTTCAAAACGGCATATAAATCGCCGCCGTTAGTATCCTTATCAATATCAACAGTCGAACGGTTATTTGTGATGCATTGAATGCCTACATCAGCTTCATAGTTGAAATAATGACGAACTATGAACATCAATGAAGAGCTCCATTTCGATCAAAATGGGCCGTACGCATCACATTACAATCTGAAATAATGCAGACACAGGCTTGAAAAGGACCATGATGAATGAAAAAATCGGCTGTTGTCTAAAACTTGAGCTCGAGTGTTGTCTAACTGTTGTCGGAGATCGGCACGAACACGTGATGCGTATTTATGGAAGGCTGACAAGTTTCCCGACAACAGTAGGCGGAGAGTGCAAAGGCGCAATAAACTGAGAGAAAGTTGGAAAGGGAACATAGGTAGGTAGGTACTCTTAATGTGACTGATAACCCCCATAAGTTACCGATATGCTGCATAATGGCCTCACCTTACCACGCAGCTCCGCCGGACCAACTGCCTAAGACCCTATCCCTATTCCCAGGCCCGTCCTCTTCCCCACACAGAAAGTGAGCTATTCGGGACGACTTTCCCCAGCAACGCAGATGTAAGAGTGTCAGCAACTGCCGTTTCTCAGGGTCATGGATAAGAACTGAAAAAACGCCGCTAATACTCGTGAGACCGGTTGTTGCCTGTGTCGAGCAGGATGCAGACGGCCGCCCGCCCCCGCCAAAGATCAGTTGTAGGATGGCAGCCGCGCTCCTGACACTGTTCCTGGCGGCTGCGGCCGCTGCCTACCTGAGCCCGCCCTATCGGCCGCTGGTGACCACTCTGGAGGGGACGGTGAGCGGTGCGACCGACAGAAGCGCCGACGGAAGTCTCTTCTTCAGCTTCAAGGGAATCCGGTATGCACAGCCGCCCGTGGGCCCTCTGCGCTTCGAGCCGCCACTTCGCCACCCCGGCTGGCGGGGCATCGTCGACGCTTTAGAACATGGCAACAAGTGCGCCCAGTTCGAGGCGTTCAACAGCAACAGTAACAACACTCGCCTTGGTGTCGAGGACTGCCTGTTCGTGAACGTTTACACCCGCCAGCTGCCAGGACGAGAGAGCACTCTGACCGGACTGCCGGTGATGGTCTATGTTCATGGAGGCGGGTTCTACCTCGGCTCTGGCGACAGTGACATTTATGGTCCGCACTACGTCATGGACGAGCCGGTGGTCCTGGTGACGTTCAACTACAGGCTCGGACCTTTCGGCTTTTTCACAACACACGACGCGGCAGCTCCTGGCAACTACGGCATGCTGGACCAGGTGCTGCTGCTGCAGTGGGTGCAGGACAACATCGCGGCGTTCGGTGGCGACCCGGGACTGGTCACCATATTCGGCCAGTCAGCAGGAGGGGCGAGTGTCTCGCTCCTGGTGCTCAGTCCCCTTGGAAAGGGATTGTTTCAGCACGCTATCAGTCAATCAGGTGCATCCTTCTCCTTCTTTGCGGCCAGTGGTAAGCGCAGGGGACTGGCCGTCAAATTGGCCACACAGTTGGGATGCCTTCAGCCCAATAGCGACGCCCTGGTGGACTGTGTCAAGCGGACTCCAACTCAGGTTCTTCAAGACGCATGGGAAGCCATCGGCGAACATGACAACATCGGCTTTCGTCCCCGTGCCGATAGAGAGAGGAACTTTCCATTCTTACCGGATGATGCCAGAGTGCTGTTGGCCACAGGTAACTTCAACTTAGTTCCGTGGATTTCCGGCATGACTAGTCTGGAGGGCGCTTTGTTTCTTCCACAACAACTTCCTACCGAAGAGTTCGTCAATGAAATCATTGACAAAAATCTGACTGTTTGGAGTAGCTTTCTCGAACTGATCGGCGAGTCCCGATTCAGGATCCTTGATTGTGGAGCTGATCCAATCGAGGAAACAATAAGGGCCATTAACTTCTTCGTCGGAAGCGGCAGTGTTACGATAAAGGCACTTGCGGATATCTTATCCGATCGAATCTTCGTCAACGAGATATCGGAAGAGATTCGCCTAGCCTCGGCGCATGCTCCTGTGTACAAGTACGTGCTGGACCACATGGGTCCCGGACGGCTGACGCTTGGCGACAATCCTCCGAAGCCTGACAATCTGCCGTACCCAATCACAGAGCTAGGCGTCAGCCATGATGCGGATACTCTCTACCTGTTCACTAGAGCCAACCGGGACCGAGAGCAGCCCGGCACTCCGGCCTACTTCATGGTCCGCTTTATGGTCAACCTGTGGACCAACTTTGCGCGCACTGGTCGGCCCAGCTCGGATGTGCTGCCAACGCCAGACTGGCCCATCTACACCGAAAAGTATCAGCGCCACATGAGGCTCAACTCGCACCCGGCGCTGGGGGAGAGACTTTGAAGAACGGGTAAATTTCTGGCAAACGGTGCGCATCAACGAGCAATGGAGACACCTACTAGACAGGAGCCCGTGCTTCTGAGACCCGATTCTTGACCATGGTCGGTTCAACACGATGGATGCGAGAGAGGAATGCAACAGGATAGCAATGTATTATACGGCAACCTTCACCTTAAGTGGCTATGCTCTTTTTATTGTACAAATCAGTAGTAAGAAATTGCATCTTCCAGTTCTGCCCCATGCAGTGTCTGAAATTTGGTGGCGCTACGTGCCACGGTGCCCACGCTATTAACGGGAAAAACTTTGTGATTCCGTTGCCGGTAAATAAATCCAATTTTACCTCGAACATGTACCGGTTTTTGTGGCTTGATGACCTGACCTGAAATAACTGGGACCAAAAATTTCCGGAAATGTCCAAAAGGATACCCCAGAGGGTATGCAAAATTTGGCGGCGCTATACGCCGCCGTTTTTACGCTTTTTCATAGTCACGTATGTTTTATTCACATCCTTATTGAAACACAACGAATACGAGGCTCACCAATGGTTGCATGGCATAACATATCGACTATCCTCAGTCACCAGTATCGACCATGTGCAAATAGCACAATGGACATGCAACACGCATTCTCTCCCAATGCTTTACGGACCATGCACACAGAAGCTCCACGTGTCTACACCTCTTCACTTCACTACGCTTCATGTATCTACACTGCTGGTGGAATACGGTTCACAAACGGTTGCACTCATAACATCATCTTACAAAATTCACCACGTTACACACTTGAAAGACTCAACACGTTTAAGAAACACAAGGAAGCAATGCACCAATGTTAATGATCTGGTCTGGTAAACACTGTAAACCACGCGAGAATATTCACTGATTGGGTACTTTCGTAGAACTCGACACTTACTTGTGTAACGTTATGCTGGCTACTATGCTCTGTGCCCTGTTCCTCAGTTTCACTGCTCTTGAAGACAGACAGGTGACCAGTGGCGATGACTATGACGCCCCTCGGCATCCATCCCGCCTTTTGGCGATAAAAGTGAGCCGGTATCGTTCATGCAACACCGTCGCCAAACTGGGACAGTGCGCTGTTCAGTTGGGCGCTTGTGCGCATCCGTTTCAGCCTACTGGTCATTTGTCTGGCGCCTTCCTCCGTCATGCCGTCTCCCAGAGTCCGGACTTTGTCTCCAAACGCCGACAGAAGCGCGTCCACGACAGCTGAGCTCGGCCGTGCCATCAGCGACTGACGAGGATTCGGCTGGACGTTCACAGCGTCGTCTTCCGATGCCGCATCCATGGCCTCATCGGCCGAGGGAGGGTCAGACGCAGCGTCAGTGGTGCCTGGATCAGCAGCAGCGTCACTCGGACCGTCAGAGTCATGCTGCTCAAACAGGGAGGCGAAGAAATCCTCCGTCGGTGCCGCCTCCTCGCCCGTGGCCACGGCCGCCAGCCGCCGGAGACGCTCCTTGGTACCCACGTACCCCTTCGGCAGCCTCGTCATGGCGTGCTCGGCACACGCGGTCTGGTGCTGGCACACGGCTCCAGTCTGGCCCTTGGTGCATGAACACCAGCCGGTCTGGAGGTCCACATCGTACACCTGAGTGTCATCGCCCTCGCCCTTCACTTTGAAGCTGCCATCCCCACCTTCTGTCTGCACCACGTCATAGCCCTGGTGCCCGGCGGTGGCCTCGCAGGCGGTCGCTTTCTTCCCTCGCCGCCCGAGGGCCACGTCTGCCAGCCGCTGCCGCACGAGGGCGTCCCACTCCTCGGTTAACAGCACGAGTTGACAGGCGTTCTCCGCCTTCGACGACCTGTGAAAATGACAAATAATTGAGAAGTGATGTTACAATATAATTTGTTCTCTCTTTACCCTTATGGTACGTGGTACAAAGATCCAAACCAGCAGTGTAGAACATGTCCCTGTTACCAAATTCGCTGTTATGGCGTGCCATTTTCCTCCCTCTCTATTATGTTCTATTAACAAACCTTGATTATCTTATTAACGAGGATAAGGACAAGAAGAATCGCGATATTAGCTTGTTGCTGATGTGCCCTGCCACTGCAAATCATCGTCATTATGAACGAGAAAGCATGTCGTGTCTGAGGTGTTTTTTGTGTATGTTTAATGGGGTTTTTGGGCGAGCCGAGTCTGTGTCTGTCGCCGTCTCAGAGGCGTTAGTAGATGACGTTGGTTAATTCGAGCGAGTAGTGAACCTATCCGGTGCTAAAAGGCGCAAAGACAGGCCAGGAAGGGGGGGGGGGGGCGGGACAGCCGAGGGTCAAGTGTGCATTTCTTCCCATACAAACTGTCATCGGCGTTATGTCAATGATCGGGTCTTTAGGGGAAGTCACCCCCCCCCCCCAGTGGTTGATGATGCATTTGCTCAGCACAAGGCAGATCTTTAACCACAATTTACCTTAGGCAGCCACTAATTCAAGCTCATTGACTGGTGCCATGAGTTCCGTCACCTCATTCATGAAAACCCCTTTTAGCTGCAAGGTCATCCACTCTTATATACGTACAATGAACAAATGCATTAACCCGCGCCCCACTGGGGGGGGGGGCTATTTATAGCCCCCCTCCCGTTTTTCTGCAATAACTTCCAAACCGCTTGGCGGATCGACGCCAAACTTCCAGTACCTTCGGCTGCATCAATTTGACACCTTGTGTCAAAATTTGAACTTCGTAGCTACCATAGGTCGGCCGGAAATGACGTCAGAGTGACGTCATGTTCGTCCGATTTCGACGCAAAACATTGAACCACGGCAATCGCTCCCAAGAGCTCAGTTTTTAAGCTAGATCCAATTTCTTTGCATGAAGGGACTCAGAATTGACCGCGCTATCAAACTGCTATCTCGGATTTTCAAAATTTTGGAAAATTTCGAAAATTTTATATAATAATATTCAAAATTTATAATTTTACATTTTTTTTTCAGAAAGTGTTTGACTTTTCGAAAAAACCGGAATATATGTGATATAACGCATTATTATGACTAACTCTAGCAAGTTTTAGCTAAATATCTTCAAAAATGGCCAAGTTTTACGCATTATTGTAAAAAATTCACAAGTATTAATTTTCAAATCAATTTTCAGCACGTATTTGACATCGTACGCCAATATAAATAGCACCATCGTGTTCCTGAGCTCAAACTGCATCCAATAGACACCTTTTTTGTTGAAAAATTTTAGCTTCAAAATTTGACCTTTTTTGACCTGAAAGTGACCTGACCTAAGCTGCATTCGACTCAAAATGACCTCAAATGACACAGACGACATCAAATTCGAAATATATGGCCTAAATGGACCATAAAACATGTGTCACGTGACCGACGCATGATATAATATTTTCGTGACCTGTGATGACCTGACCCTGACCTGAAAATCAAAGTACAAGTTTGGTACCCTCAACGTATCTAGAGCATCTGTTCACGAGTGTGGAAACCAAAAATCAGCCTGATCTGACTTGTAAGACGGCGGCCAGAGCCCAAAATGTGAACAAGCCAAGATGCTAATAATTTTTACTTTGACCTGACCTGTGCCGTCATCGGTGACCTCGAGGTCAATGAAATTAGTTTTCGCTCGACAGTTTTTCCGGGGCTATCAGACGCCGTTTGAATTTTGACGATCGGCCCAGTAGTTTCGGAGTTAGGAGGGGGGGGGGGCTATGAATAGCCCCCCCCCCAGTAGGGCGTGTTATACACAGACCCCAGTGGGGCGCGGGTTAAACCTTCTAATAATTGCTAAATGCTAAGAAACAGAGGACATGAGTCATGAAAGGTATCTCGGATTTTTATGCTCGTAACCTTTGGTCAAGTTACACTTAGAATTCCTGACCCTCAAGAGTCAAGAGTTATTCTGACCTGTTCAGGACGATGTGTTGAGCACACACACTGAAGCCTCCGCAAAGTTATAGTTGCGGTGTCCTCGGAGCACCTCGCAGCTTCTGAAGGCCAGGGCCCACTCTGCTCGTCGCTCCATGAGCTCTCCCATGTACCTGTTGGGGCAGACCACAGGGTAAGTGGTGCATTCAGAAAGTAACTGCATTTACACAGGCCCTCACGATTGAGTGTGACAACTCAATCTCGTGAGAGCGCTTCTTGACAGCGGCATTGACGCGCATGGCCTGCTTGCTAACACTCATGTACAGGTCAGACGCTCTTACGACCTGCTGGGCCTGAACCTCCATGCGGTGAGTGGACGCGATTTAACAACATGTTCGTCGCTCCATCGGAGTGTTTTGTTAGCACACTGAACGAAATGGCTGCCATCAGAGTCTGCTTTTTTTGTTGCATTTGTATCTGCATTTGTAGCATTGAAACGATTTGAAATCCTCCGCTCACCATATCTGGCGCTATGTGATTTTTTTCCAAAACCGGAGGGACAGCCCTGAAGGACGGCGCTACGCATTCAGGACGGAGCTGGCAGGCGCGATCTGCTAGTGGGTACAGCAGGCCTTCAAAGAATGGAGTGCTATCGGAATTGGTTGAGAATGTGAGACGATGTAAGCTTCGCGCTCGCTCGTAATAATAATAACACCAGTAAAACGCCTTTTGGGCGAAGATGATGATGATTTGGAGTGACAGGGCGCACCAGCTGCGAGGCTATATCGCGCCCATTTCTTATTTGACTTCCTCAGTGTCGGGCGTTAAAAATCACCTGAAGGCCGGAGGCCGCAATAAACGAAAAGAGGCGAGAAGAGTCAAGCAAAGAGGACTCGTCACCTAAGACTGCTCTCAAAGAAAGCTGGGCCCCGCGCAGGCCCAGAAATTTCAGCCGCTCAGCTTCCAGTCTTGGACACTCCAGAAAAACGTGTCGGACGGAAAGTCTGTCGCCACATCTCGCACAAACAGGTCTTGGGCCGACGCCAATAAGGTGTCCATGGGTACCGAAAGTGTGTCCTGTGCGAAGCCGACAGAGGATGACCTCCTCTCGACGCGACTTGCGTGACGCAGACAGCCAGGTTGCCAAACCCGGTTTGATGCGTAGCAGCTTGTTTG